TGGGGACTTTCAGAACTACTGATACTCCAGATTGGCCTGGGGTGTGGTCTGAGCATTTGGGTATTTATTAAGTCAGGGTCTCATTCTGTCACCCAGGCTGGAGTGCAGTGGCACAATCACGACTACTATAGCCTTGGCTGGGTAAAGGTGATCCTTCCACATCAGCCTTCCAAGTAGCTGGAACTACAGGCATGCACCACCACACCAGGCTGATTTTTTGATTTATTGTAAAGACGAGTGCTTACAATATTGCCCAGGCTGGTCTCGAACCCCTGAGACCCCTGGTCTCAGGCAGTCCTCTCTCCTTTGCCTCCCAAAGTACTTGGATTACAGGTGTGAGCCACCATGCCTGGCCTATTTAGGCTCTTAAAAAGCTCCCTAGGTGATTTTAATTTGCAGCTAAGATTGAGAACCACTGCCCTCTAGAAATAATTAATTTTCCAAATGAAATCCATTACTGTTTGGTTGAGTTTGGCATCTTTTCTCAAAGAATTCAATAAATAGTGTTGTTACTGTTTGCTTATTAGTTCATAAGCAAAACCTTGGCTTAATTAAATTTTTAGAGCTGTTTGGTTTAAGTAAAATTTAATTTGCTCTCACCCCAATGAAAGCTCTACAGGCAGTTGAAACCACAGCAAATTATCTAACATGCCTATACTGTTGTTTGTTCGTTCATTCTGTGCTGGAATAATGAAAGTTCTGATGCAAGCCTTAGCTTGATGTGGGCATATAAAGAGGTAACAGGTACAAGAAGCATCTATTGTACAGAGCCAAGTACAAGCAAGTCCTGACCACAGAAGGAATGTGTAAAAGTGAAAAACTCAAGATTATGTGCAAGTGCAAATGTATTCTTTTTCTAGGTACCTATACGTGTGTTTTTGGATCTATCCTCATTGCCCTGTATACCTTTAAGTAAGCCAGTGGAACTCCTAAGACTAGATTTAATGACTCCGTATTTAAACACCTCTAACAGAGAAGTAAAGGTAAGGACCACCTTCAATATGTTTACTTTTCTCATATTCAGAAGGGTTATCTTAAACTAGGTAATATAAAATCTTAGCCACTTTCTTTGAAGAGTTACATCTTACTTATTTTCTGAACAATATACACAAATGGATTTGAGTAAATATTAGTGAGTAAAATAGGTTAATGTTAATTTGAATTGGGTGAGTGAATGTATTTTTACATACATTTTTTGTATTTAAAATGGACTAAAAAGAGAAAGATTTAGTCATCTAAGTCTTCCATTTCTTAATTTTCATAGGTCCACATTTGTAAATCTGGACAAGTGACTGCTATTCCATTTTGGTATCATATGCACCTTGATGAAGAGATTATGTTGGATACTTCAAGTGAAGCCTCCCACTGGAAACAAGCTGCCGTTGTTTTAGATAATCCTATCCAGGTTGAAATGGGAGAAGAACTTGTACTCAGCGTTCAGCATCATAAAAGCAACGTCAGCATCACAGTAAAGTGATGAAGAGCAGTTTTCTAGTGGTCACGTTTAAGTAAAGCATCAAGTACCAAATTCTTGTCTTAATTAGTGGGGATGTATAAAAATTCAGTTCCTCGTAGCGGCCAAATACTTTTAAAAAAGATTGACATTAATAAAGAACATTTCAAATATTCTAAAGAGTAGTATTATTATAAAAATATTGCTGCAGAGTTGCTTTCTGGAAAAGGATATATCACTAATTTTCAAATTAGGAAACTTTCTTTTTGCTTGATTTTACTCAATAGGGATTTTAAAGGTCTCACTCTCTCATTGTCATGTGTCAGTAAATAAAGCAAAACTTTACATTTTTAGTCATTTTGGTCTTTTTTCTTAAATCCAAATTTATAATTGGGAAATAATGAAAGTCAACTTCCCCTGAAGCTGAGGACTATGGTTACTGGGTCCAGGCTTGCTTCCTTTAGGTACTCAGTGTATTTCAGAATCCCCCCTCAGGTTTTGTTTTGAGAATGCAAGCTTGAGTAAGACTTTAAGCTATAAGCTAAATGTAATTAAAACTGAGTAGGAGCTGGGGAATAAACCTTCAGGAGTCAGCATTTTCCTTGATCTTCTTTGGCAAAGGGAAATGAAAAAGCTGGTAACAAAAAAATCAAATTCAAGAAAGTTAATCCTAAACCTTTAATTTTCAAAGTTCTGCTTCGTATTCACAATAAGAAATACTCATAATTGGCCCAATTTTTACAGGCTTTTTAAACAGGGAGATTAAGAAGGAAGATCATTATGATTTTTGTGCTCTTTGTAAGTCACTAAGGAAATAAGATGTATCTTTGTTCACAGACTATTCTTGCTACCTCTGTTATACTGCCCAGCTTTACTTTGTTTTTAAATTTTATTGCATATATTTAAGGTATACAGCATGAAGCAAGTTTACCCACCTTCACAGTTACCCGAGTTTTGGTGACAAGAGCCACTAAAATCTGCTTACTTAGCAGGCATCCCAAATACAGTAGTGTGATTTCCTATAGTCCCATATTGATCTCTAGGCTTGCTTATCCTATATATATCTGCTACCTCGTATCCTCTGACTCACATCTCCCCATTCCCCTGCACCTAGTAACTATTTCTGTTCCCTCTTTCTGCTTGCATTTTATTAAGAATCCACATATATGAGAGTAATCTTTTCTGTGTCTGGTTTATTTCACTTAGCATAATGCCCTTCAGGCTTACCCATGTTGTGGCAAATGGCAAGTTTTTGTTTTTTTAATGACTGAATATTCCATTATGTGTGTGTGCGTGTGTATAATATATGTATGCATGTATACACACACACCCAGTTTGTCTGTCGGACAGTTCTTTGTATCTTGGCTATTGTGAATGCTGCTGCAGTGAACCTGGAGTGTATATATATATATACACACACACTATATATATATATATATATACACACACAATATATATATATACACACACAGAGTGGTGATTTCATGCCTTTGGGTATATGCCCAGAAGAAGCGGATTACTTGGTCAAAAAGTTTTATTTTCAATTTCTTTAGAAACCTCCATGCTGTTTTCCTTAATGTCTGTGCCAATCTACATTCCCACCAACAGTACACAAGAGTTCCCTTTTCTCCACACCCTCACCAACATTTTACCTTTTGTTTTTTGATAAGAGCCATCCTAACTGGTGTGAGGTAGTATCTCATAGTGGTTTTGTTTGCATTTCCTTGATGATCAGTGACGTTGAACACCCTTTCATATACCTGTTCACAATTTTAATGTCTTCATTGGAGAAATGTCTATTCAGGGCTTTTGCCCATTTTTCAGCAGGATATTTGTTTTTCTACTGAGTTGTATGATTTATTAATTTTTGATATTAACCCCTTATCAGATATGCGACTTGCAAGTGTATTTTTCCCAATCTCTATAGGCTGTTGTTTCATTTTGTTGACTGTTTCCTTTGCTTTGCAGAAGCTTTTTAGTTTGACAGTCCTTTTCTCTTCTAGTTGTATAATTTCTGGTCTTGCATTAGGTCTTTTATCCATTTTGAGCTGATTTTTGTGTAGATGTAAGATAAGGGTCCAAATCCATTCTTTCGCATGTGAAAATCCAGTTTTCCCAGCACCATTTATTGAAGAAGATCTTTTTTCCCTTGTGTCCTCTTGGTGCCTTTGTCAAAAACTAGTTGACTCTATGCTTAGATTTATTTCTTGGCTATTCTGCTCCATTGGTCTATGTGTCTATTTTTATGCCTGTACCATACTGTTTTGATTACTAAAATATTGTAATACGATTTAAAATCAGGAAACATGTCTCCAGGTTACTTTTTCTCAGAATTGGCTATTCAGTCTTTTATAGTTCCATATATAGAATTTTAGGATTTTTTTTCTATTTTTGTAAAGAATGCCATTGGGATTATGATAGGGGTTGCATTGAATCTGTAAGTTGCTTTGGGTAGTGTAGACATTTTAGCAGTATTCTGATCCATGAGCACAGGATATCTGTCCATTTATTTGTGTCTTCAGTTTCTTTCATCAGTATTTTATTTTATTTTTTTGAGTTGGAGTCTCACTCTGTTGCCCAGACTGGAGTGCAGTGGCCGCTTCTGGCCACCGCAGCCTCAATCTGCTGGGCTCCAGCGATCCTTCCGACTCAGCCTTCCGAGTAGCTGGAATTACAGCTACCATGCCCGGCTGATTTTTTGTAGAGATGAAGTCTCACCAAGTTGCCCAGGCGGGTCTCCAACCTGTGGGCTCAGGCAATCCACTCACCTCAGCCTCCCAAGGCGCAGGATTACAGGCTGAGCCACCGAGCCCGGCTCATCAGTATTTTATATAGTTTGTGTACAGATCTTTCACCTCCTTAAGTTCAGCGATATTATTTTTTGATGCTGCTGTAAATGAGATTGTTTTTTTGATTTTTCAGTTAGATCATTTATGTATAAAAATGCTACTGGTTTTTATATGTTGGTTGTTGGTTTTGTATCTTGCAAATTTACTGAATTCATTTATGACTTTTTTTTTTTTTTTTTTTGGTGAATCTGGAGTTTTTACATATAGCCCAGCTTTCCTTTTAATAGACATGCATAATTTATAGTAGTGGGCAATTAAAAAATTTTGTCCTGTATTTACTATGAATTAGCATGTATATATATATGAATGTGTATGTGTGTACAACTATATAACAGAAAGGTTTTGAGAACAATACTCATCTTTGATTTTTGCAGCATACTATGTATGCCATTTTCCGTACTTTACATCTATTATAAAATGTTAAACACAACCCAGTGGGTTGTGATTAGCAATTTGAGAAACCCCATCCTAAATAATAAATTTTTCTCAAATAGCACCTGCATGTCTTGACTGTGGTTTAATGAAAAATTAAGACCATTCGGCTGAGATTTATATTTGCTGCCATCTTTAATAGCACTGAGGAAAAGTGGTCTTTTTTTTACTAATTTCTTTTTCATTGTGCCTCTAATTAAAAAATTTTTGTTAAAACATTAAGGGTTTATATTTAAAGAATGAGAGACATAAAAAGTTACAGAAAATAAATGATAAGTTCTTATTTATTGAAAGACGTTCAGTTTAGAAATAGAGAAATAATTGTTAGGTAAGGTTATATGGCACAAGATTATGATTAAATTCCGCTGATTCATATTTCTGCATTATGCTTTCTGTTAATTCCAGAGTATATTCATGCAGCAGTGATAGGAAGTACTATTTTTTTTTAATGTTCATCCTCTTGGTAAAGCAATGTAATACCAGGAACATTTAGTTGGAGTCAGTTTCTATCATTTGAGTATGTGATACTCTAATGTTAAGATCAAGTCTAAGTCTGGGAAATTTAGACTGACTTATTTCTGATATATAAAACTCATATATATAAATCCAGTAGTTGTACTTGGCTTTCACCTGCTTATGTGTTGAAATTTTCCATTATTTATGGTGTGTCCCAAGCACAAAATCCTGAGCCATGGGATATGACAAATGGTAGTAGCACAGTTTGCTTTTCCAGACTGTTCAGGAGTCCACAGATTTATCTGAAGGGTCTTTTTTCCCTCCTATAGTATCATTAAGTATTTCGTCACATATCTTAGCTGTAGTTGGTGTAGTCTGGGGCGTCACAGTATGTCCAAACCCTTGGTAGTGACCCATGGGTGAAGGTGGCATAGAAGAGGCAATGGAAATTGCATCCTGCGATGATGACGATAACAAGCTTGTATGTTCGTTTTGATCTTGATCCTCAGGAAACAGTTTTTTCCTAGGATGTCCCCTGACTGTCCGTCCTTTAACATAAAGGTTTCCACATCAGTCCAAAGTTATTTGTACTGTTATAAACCGAACATTTTAAAAACAAGCTTCTCACTTTCCCTCCTCCCACCCTCCAAGTTTGATGAGCCTGCACTGTGTAATGCTTTCGACAGCCTGTTTCATCTCTTTAATAGCTCCTAAACTGCCCCGTTAGGAGAAATCAATAACCACGGCTAGTACTTACCGACATGCCTTACTTGTTCCGAAATATCATCTCTAATATCTGAAACGTCCCACATGGCGAGGAAGGAATCAAAGCACGAGCCCTCTTCTGCTTCTTGGACGTACGGCTTATATGAGAAAGTGTAGTGGTGAGCAATAGCAGCAAGGAACATCTCAATGCAGATAATAAAGTCCTGTAACAGCAACAGCGAAAGCGAAAGCGTCAGCCGTCGCTGGCTTTCAGTTTAGTTTTGTAGGGTGCTTTCGCTACGTGCTATTCAAGAGTGCTAAAGTATAAACAGCTATTTTGTTTTCAGTTTTCTTTATTTTCTAAAATTATTTCTGATCTCGAAACAAAAGATGAAATGCCAACATTTAAATCTGTTCTGGACTACTGCAAGTATTTCTTCATGAAGTACATTGCATTCTCAATCCACCACCCAATGACTAAGAGGGGAAATGCAGAAAGAGAAAGGGACTAGGAATAACATGAAATCCAGGTTTTATTCTAGGCTCCGTTATAAATCACTAATTATGGCCAATTTCTCTAGGGTCCCCTGTTTTCTCACCTTTACAGTGAGGATAATAGTAACCCCTACATGCTGTCAGGTTTAATGGAGACAAGAGATAAAAATGCTTAACAAACTAACAGTAAGGGTCTATTTAATCCAGAGATGGCACGACTTACCTGGAGTCCTGTGGCCACAGCTTCTACGGTTTGCCATTCCCATGTATGCTTTTCAGAAATAACGCCAACTTTTACCAACAAAGCAATAACTACTGCTTGCCTATATGTTAGGAAAAGGTAAACGCCAGATCTATATCAAGCATAAAACGAGCAGTAGTTTTAAAAATATGCCGTTTAAAACACTGAAATCCCAGTGCAACCTGTGGACCACCACCCTGCTTTTGAAGCATATTCCTGAAGAAACTGTGTCTGTGTTAATACATTGATTTGCTTTATTACAGTACAGTTTCATTAGGTAAATTTTGATCATGTAGTCTCAACACTTTGATACTTAGTTTAAACATCTTTGTTTTGTTTTGAAAGTGTATACAAGCAATTCTACATAGACAGTGCCTCATACCTCATACAATAGAAAGTTAAAGGCCAGACACACTAATGCTGTTTACACATGTGTTAATTAATCACTCAGATTATTTTTAAAAACAGTAATTTTGAAGCCAGTCTTGTTTGAAGTACTTTTCAGACAAACTCAGAAGGGGTCTGACTCAAAGACAGGGATTGAGGCTTGAGCATTTCAAGCACATCTAGGTATATGGCCCCAGGTTAAATTTAAACAGCAAATAACAAGATAGACAAACTTTCATACTTTATCATCAAGATACTCACTTCAGTGTTGCTTGTAAAGGTGAAAAAATTAGAAACAACTTATGTATCATTAGGAGATTGGTTAAAAAGTTATACCCACAACAGATTACTAAGGAAAAAGAATTATATTTCTCTTTACTGACAAAGAACATATCCACAGTATACTGAACATACTATCAAATTCCAATAATTTTTATAACACAGAACTATTTCTGTGGAGTTTTACATTTGACACAGATATACTGAAATGTTAACCTTTCCTTCTGTGTAGTAGGATTTCAGGGACATTTCTCTTTTTTTTTCTTCCCTTTTGTATTATTTCCATCTTGTTAAATTTGGTGCATTTGTTTCCAGGATTCCTATTACCTATCTCTTAACTGAGACCATGTATAGTTTTGCCTTGTTTTATTTTATTTGTTTTGAATTGGAGTCTCATTCTGTCACCTAGGCTGGAGGGCAGTGGCATGCTCCCAGCCACCGCAGCCTTGACGTGCTGGGCTCAGGCGATCTTTCCACCTCGGCCTTCCAAGTAGCTGGAACTACAGATACATGTCACCATGCCCGGCTAATTTTTTGATTTATTGTAGAGATTAGGTCTTGCTAAGTTGTCCAGGCTGGTCTCATACCCGCGGGCTCAGGCAGTCCTCTCACCTTGGCCTCCCAAAGTGCCATGAGTACTTATAGGCATGAGCCACCGCGCCTGACCGCCTTCTATTTTAAAATAACATTGACTGGTGAACATTTCCCTACATTATTAAATATTCTCCATCATGGACAGGACCATGATGTTTTTGAGTCAGGGTCTCATTCTGTCGCCCAGAGCGGAGTACAGTACCATAATCATGGCTCGCTGCAGCCTTGAACTTTTGGCCTCAAGGGATCCTCCTGCCTCAACCTCCCAAGTAGCTGGGACTATAGGCATGCACCACCATGCCCAGCTAATTTTTTAATTTTTTAATTTTTGTAGAGATGAGCTCTCACTGTGTTGCCCAGGCTGGTCTTGAACTCCTGGGCGCAGGCAATCTTCTCATCTCAGCCTCCTAAAGTGCTGGGATTATCGGCATGAGCCACTGTGCCTGGCCTGATTTATTTTAATTATTCTTCTAGTACTGATATATTTAGGTTGTCTCATTATTTTCATCTTATCAGTGTTACAGAACTGATTATTTCTTTATGACAACCCTAGAAGGGCAAAGGATAAACTTTTAAAAAGGTAAGTAGACACATTTTAATCCATCTTTTGCATTGACTATTTGAAAAATCCTCCTTAACCATTTTGATTGCTCTTTAGAAAACAAGAACATTTAAAAGAAATCAACACTTACCAAAAGGAAACAAAAACCACCAGCTTGACACACAGAAATTTGCCAACAGGTTGGATTGGACTCAGTTCTTCCTTTAGAACTTTATAAAACAGCAGTAGACAATACATGGCAAACTGGAAACAAGATTAACATTTAAACTTCTTCAGTAGGAATAACTAAGTATGGTAGCAGAAATATTAAAGTTTATCAACCTGAGTAATGTTCCAGGCAAATTTTTCTAGGCTTTATTATTCTATCTTTAGATGAACAAGCTTTTTCATCTATAATTTTGTTGTAGATGAATAATACTATGTGAAATTTCTCAAGAGAGATGTATAACATCTTCCCTGAAAATGTTTTCAAATGTTCACTTCCTGGACTCCAAAAAGGAACAATAAACAAATGATTGACACAAATGGAAGAAACAGCTTTCATTCAGCTAAATTTAAAAACATCAATTTGTAACAGCTTTTGAACACAAATTTGACCACTAATTTGATAAGGCTTTAGCTTGTCATCTAGTCTATCCTATGTAACACTGTATGTATATTATTTATAAGGCAGCACATTAAATAAGTACAATTTCAATAAAAGTATGGCCATGAAATATGAATGTTAAGAGTCAGGGAAACAGGATTGTTAGTCCAGCTGAATTAGGTTTCAAAAATAAGTCTTAACTACTTTTAGAAATCACTTGTAATAACCTAGTACAGTGTTAAACAGCAACAAACATTTTCTTAAAAGTTCACCTTTTCCCACGAAAGTCATATAAAATACTAACTGAAAATATGTTAGAATATGAAAGCAGTCCAGGAACGATAAAGTTATGCATGCCCATCATGCAACCATTCCTTTCTACATAGAAGATGGTTTTTTAACAGCTGTCATGAACCACACACATACAAAGTTTTGTTGCCCGATATTTCCTTCCACTTAAAGTACCGAACTTCTGTATATTTTATCAGGATTATTTTTAATTGCTTAATATTTTGGCCAATGGAAAGACCAGTGTATTTAAATAGTCCCTATCCCTGGGCTCTGGCTTGTTTCCAGCCTTTTGCTATTTATAAATAACAGGCTTTATAAACAAAGATATTCAAGGCAAAAGTGCTTATCTGACAACTTCCTTACACTACATTCCCAGAAACAATTACTGGCTATAAAGAAGATGAACATGTGGGAAAGCTTTGAAAACACAGAAATTTAATTTTTATTATAAAGCTCTAATACCACACATGCATACTGTTACATCTAAATTATTACCGTGCTGACAGCATTAACCGAATAAAATGCACATTTTTAAGCCCACAGGATTAAATAGTTATATCTTTATAACATTACAGTTTCTAAAACCCTATCCTTTTTTAATACTTGGCATTCTCAATTTTCCTTTGATTACAGATATATGTTATCAGAGAATTTTATCCTCCCACTTTAATTCAAACTATGTATCCAACATTTTTTTTTTTTTTTTTGAGTTGGAGTCTCACTCTGTTGCCCAGACTGGAGTGCAGTGGCCGCTCCCGGCCACCGCAGCCTCGACCTGCTGGGCTCCGGCGATCCTTCCGCCTGAGCCTTTCAAGTAGCTGGAATTACAGGCATGCGCTACCACGCCCGGCTGATTTTTTGATTTATTGTAGAGATGAGGTCTCTCTGCCCAGGCGGGTCTCGAACCCGTGGGCTCAGGCCATCCACTCACCTCAGCCTCCCAAAGGCGCGGGATTACAGGCTGAGCCACCCAGCCCGGCTCCAACATTTTATCTTATTGAATATGCCCATAATGTATGTGCGTGTATTTATTTTGTTCATTTAGAGAGTACTGTGCTTTTGTTTATGACATACTCACACAGCTAGGTGATGAGCCACTGGTCACCAAATTTGGTATAAGTCACCAAACAATTAACAAAGATATCTTTGTGTATAAAAATATTAAAGTTTTTCTCAAGTTTTCCTCTAAATTAAATTTCAAGGCTAAAAAGAAACAAGCTCTAAGAAAAAGCTTTGCCTAAAAAATTTAGTAATTACTCTAATTTAGTACAACTCAGAAAAACTAATATTTACTTACCAATTGTGACATATTGTTTATTATAACCAAGTAAGTCCAAGCATTTGAAAAGCTAAAGTTTCCTTCATCATAGACACCAACCAGCTCACAAATTCTTAAAAAAAAAAAAGGTAAAAATGAGCTATCTTTATGTACTTTAAAACAGCAATACTTAAATTTAGGTCTGTTTATTTGAAAGTTCCCATAGATAATCACTTGACTTTGGTCACAGAGGTGATTCAAAAATTAAACATTTTTCTAGAAATGTTACCATATGATTCTTCTTCCAACTTGAAGGAAATCCAAAATAAGACATGTAACATTGAACTAGAACATATAATGCAGGCCTATAACTGGTTGTAACTTTTTTCCTCTAAATTGTCATGGAGGCAAATTTTATGAAGACCCAAATCTCCTCAAGTAAATATTACCATCAGTATTAAGCTATATCCTTACTCAATTTCTAAACTGCAAAAATAAAGCATGCCCTCACAAAATCACAAATTAGTCCTAATTGGCTAATAAATAATTGCTATCTTAAGAGCAAAATAAAGAATTATTTCACCAGTCCTTCCATTGTTCCTAAAAGCATGAAGACAGCATGTTAGTAACAACTAGTAGATAAAGCATGCAATCTATCTGCTTTTAATTATTTGATATACTTGAATTTTTAGGGAATAGTTTTGCCAGTTAGTTTAATGATACCCCATTTTACCTCAATTCTACTTCTTGACAATGTTCTAAAAAGATAACTTCTTTTTTGGACTAGAGTACTCTCAATATATTATTAACTAACTATGTAGAAAATAAAACTGTGTAATTAACCTAACATTTTAACCTGAAATACGGTTTCTGTAAAGCTATGCATGTGAAAAAAGAGGGCTTTTTTTCCCCCAAAGTGCTTTATAACAAGCTCTAGAGAGGATGTAAATATTTAGAAGAACCCTGTAGTAATTCTTTGTGTATAAATGGCCACATTATTTAATAGAGAAGGTTTTCTACATACTGTGTTTTTTTTACAGGAGACTAGAACTACAACATAAACAAGTAAATTAATGCTCTTTTATGTTTTTCTACCCAGTTGTTCCCACATTAAGAGCACAAGGATTTTTTTTTAATGGTAATATAAAATTGGTGTACTTACAAAGCAACGATGGTGGTGAATGGTCTGACAACTGTATACTGCAATACTCCTAGTTTGCACCTAAACAGCAATACTCTGCAAAAGAAAAAGAACTTAGCATTTTTAACTACTTGTTTAAATAGCATCAGATTTTTCCCAATGTCTCCAAATTAAAATCACTTTGATGAATGATACCATATTTATATTTAATTATTTCAATTTAGTGGTGGTCCTACATAGTTTTGGGGAAAGACTCGGGGCGGCGGGGGCAAAATATCTAAATACAGTTTCTGAAATTATTTGGCAATGACATCTTCTGAACGATCTCCCATTTTGTGTATAGTCTCACATTTCTGAATACTGCAACACAGAACAAAAGGAACAGAAGTGGGTCCATGTGTTTCTGGAAGAAAAACGGTGATAAGTGAATTATACGTGTATCAGATGTGGATATGTATTTAGAAAGCATTATATTTGGGATTGCGTTTCTTTTCAAGATTGGCATTTCATAGCATTCTAGGGAGTAGACTGGATACCACTGATGGGATACTCTGAGAGGACAAAACAGGTTTTGCATAAAACATCATTTATTCTCTCACTGGGCTCACACAAGGGGCAAATTCACAAGGAGTAGCAGACAAATAAAAACAAAACAAAGCCCCAAAACAATCACCAAAAACCATGTATAATAAGCCTTCTTAAAATTTAGATCAAGTTTCTCTGAAGGCAAATATTTAGTACTTGGTTATCAAAGTTATGAATTATGAGTCTCTTAATTTAAGGATTATATCTAGACTGAGAAGACTGTGAGACTGGACTACAGACCCTGAGGTGGTGTTACTAGGACCACATAAAAAACTACTGAAGTCTTCCGTGCTGAGAGCCTTCTCTGTGCCAAGGTGATTCACTTCCACTACAACTAAATATGTCCTCTGTGGGGATGGGGCCTAAGAGTTGCACTTGGGCTTACTGCAAGCTCTCTCGATGAGAATGTCTCGGCTGTATATGCTATATACTCTTCACAAAGCTACACTAAGTTAGAGCTGGGTTTACTAAACCTCTAGTGTCCTTTGAGTTGATTATCAAACCAAACCTAAGACAACTAAGGGTGACTATGCAGATGGATTGAATAGCCAATTAGATTCCTTTGAAAGCTGTGACGAAATAAGTGAGCTGAAAGATATTACCCAGAATGTGGCAAAGGCTGAGACAGAGATAAATGTGAAAGACAAGCTTGGGAGTTAAAAAGAACAGAATAGAATGAGGTTTTACATATATCCAGAGTTCCAGAAGAGAGAATAAAGAGGCAAAATTTGAAGAGATAATAGCTTGGAATTTTTCAGAACTGATGAAAGACACGGAATCTACAGATTGAGGCACACTATAGATCAAGCAGAAATAAAAACAAAACAACCTAGATACTTCACAGTGAAACTGCAGAACATCAAAGATGGAGGAAGGGTCTTAAATGCAGTCGGAGTTTCTGCTACATTATTTGTTTATACTGCTCCAATGTCTGGAAAACTTTTAAAATCTTTGTTAAATAATTAGAAAGGCCTTCTTGAACTTATTATACCATCTTAAAGTATGAAATAAAAAATATTTTTAAAAAACAGGCTAAATGCAAAGTGAATTTCTGGATTGGATACTGAGACAAAAAAAGGACATCAATGGAAAAACTCGGGAAATACAGTCTATAAGTAAGAGTAGTGGTTTCCTAATTTTGACAGATGTGATAGCTAATTTTAGGGGTCAACCTGACTGGGAACTACCTAGGGAACTGGTAAAGCGTTACGTCTGGTGTGTCTGTGAGGGTTTTTCCAGAGGAGACTGGCGCGTGAAAGGGTGGACTGGGTGGAGAAGATCCACTCCCAGGGAGGGCGGGCATCATCCAAGGCTGGGAGCCTAGAGAGACTAAAAAGGCACAGGAGAGGCAAATTCTCTCACTCTGTCTTTCGGAGTTGGGACACACTTCCTTTCCTGCCTAAGGATATCATAACTCCAGGCTCTCCATGCTTTGTACTCTGTGACTTCTACCAGCAGCTTCCCTGATTCTAAGGCTTTTGGACTTGGACTGAGCCATGCTATTGGGATCCCAGGTCTCCAGCTTGCAGATGGCCTGTTGTGGGAATTCTTAGCCTTCATATCACATGATCCAATTCTCCTGACAAACTCAATCTCATTTAGGTGAATATCTATCCTACTGGTCTTTCTGGAGAACTCTAATATCATAAATGTACCATGATTACATAAAATGTTAATATTAGGGGAGCTGGGTGAAGGGTATAAAAGAAATCTCTGTCCCATCTTTGTACTTTTCTGTAGATTTAAAATTATTCCAAAATAAAAAATTTATTTAAAAAGTGAGAAAAATGGACAAAAAGATGGCAAGATTATAAATAAGCCTATCAATAATCAAAAAAATATTGCCTAACTTGTTCAAATGATGGACTGTCAGACTAGAATCATAAAATGATTCTAGAAGCAATAGAAAGACAAAATAGGTCCATAATTTTCTTCTCAAAGAGAAAATCCAGGCCCAATCTTTCAAGGTATAGTATACAATCTCTTCTTGTGACATACAAAAAAGCAATAATTCCTATTCAGTCAGTATAACCTGGATATGAAAACTCAACAGGGACAGTATAAGAAAGAAAAAGTATAGATGTAAAAATTCTAAAAGCATACCAAAGTATTAGCATACCAAATCCTGTGATGTATAAAAGATAATACATCATAACCAACTTGAATTTATCTGCAAATACAAAGGGGTTTTAATATTAGAAACCTAACTATTAATCTAATTCACTATATTAACAGATTAAAAAAGAAAAACCATGATAATCTGAAGATACAGTAAAAACATTTGATTAAATTTAATACTTGTTCCTAACTGAAAACTTTAAAACTAGAGCAAAAGGAACCTTACTTAACCTGAGAAAGAATACCTAAAAAACACCTTTAGAACATTATATTCAACTGTGAAATTTTACACAATTCCCTTTAAAATCCGGAATGAGAAAAAAACGCTTAGAGATACCAGCACAGTGATAAGTAATGTAGCTACAAAGACTGGGAAGGAAATAGATTCTTTATTTGCAGAGGACTGTCTACATAGAGAAGTTAAAAAGAATCTACAGACCAAGAAAATTTAACAATATGTTTGGATATAAGATCAATATGGATATAGTTAAACTAATTTCTCAACATGTCATTTATAATAGAATTAAAGGTACTCATAAAGCCAACAAAACTGTATACAACCTTTATAAGAATATTATTTTAAAATATGTAATACATATACAACTGCAAAGATGCGAGAATAGCCAAGATAACAGGGGTATGGCACTTGCCCTTCATTTAAAAGTTAATAAGCTAGAGTCAATAATGTATGGAATTGATCCAGGGGTAGAAAAATTAACCAATAACCAATAAGCAGGAATAAAAAACAACAACAAACAGACCCATACATACAGAAACTATATATGACTGAGGTGCCAATACAGATCAGTGAGGGAGAAGGGAGAATGGTGCCAGGACAGAGCTAATGGAAGAAAATTAAACTGCAGTTCAACCTCATACAACATACAATTTTAAAAAATCGGCTCCAGATTAAGAGGTAAGTCTTAATGATAAAAATTAAAATGTTTAGAAGAAAGGCATAGGAAATTTTTTTTAAAAGTTGGAGTCTCATTCCACCGCCAAGGCTGGAGTGCCACCCCAGGGTCAACCTGCAGGGCTTCAGCGATCCTTCCGCCTCAGCTTTCCAAGTAGCCGGAACCACAGGTACACGCTACCGCCCCCGGCTAATTTTATGATTTATTGTAGAGACGAGGTCTCACCATGTTTCCTGAGCTGGTCTCGAACCCGTGGGCTCAGGAAATTCACTTGCCTTGGCCTCCCAAAGTTCTGGGATTACAGGTTTCAGCCACTGTACCCAGCCAGAAAATGTTTTTATAATACTGGGTTTGAGAGGATTTTTTGAATTAGATGCCAAAAGTACTATAAAGTAAGATCGACAAATTCAACTATACTAAAATTCAAAAGACACAATGTTTATCAAAAGATACAATGAAAGTGACAAAGCATGCCAAAAACTGGCCATATTTTTAACACGTCAAGGAACTAGTAGCTAAATGTTTAAAGATCTTCCATAACTCCACAAGACAGATTAAAAAATGAGAAGAAACACAAATAAGCATTTCTCAGAAAAGGAATCATAAGTGGCTAATAAACATGAAAAGATGCTCAACAGTCCCATTACTCATCAGGGAAATCCAATTAAAACCACAGTGAGGCTGGGCTCAGTGGCTCAGCCTGTAATCCCAGCACTTTGGGAGGCCGAGGCAAGTGAATTGCCTGAGCCCACAGGTTCGAGACCAGCCTGGGCAACTTGGCAAGACCTCATCTCTATAGTAAATCAAAAGAATAAGCTGGGCGTGGTAGCACGCACCTGTAGTTCTAGCCACTTGGAAGGCTGAGGGGGAAGGATCATCAGAGCTCAGCAGGTCGATGCTGGGGTGGCTGTGAGCGTGCTACTGCACTCAGGCCTGGGCAATGGAGTGAGACTCCAACTCAAACAAACAAACAAACAAACAAACAAACAAACCCACAGCGATATGCCACTTTACACCTTCTTGATAGGCAAACATAAAGACATCTGGGTAATTCCAAGTGTAGGGAAGATATCATTCAACAGAGCTACTTTATAATGTTGGTGGGAGAGTAATTTGGTACATTTGAGGAAACAATTTGCAAACTTGTTCAACTTTTCAAATTGAACAAAATCTAAAAGAACTAGCATATCAAAACCAAGTTATATAGCTAGAGCAATATTTTTCAAACTGTCAAATTCAACTTAGGTGACCCAAACTTTAAAATCAAGAGGGAGGAATAATAAGCATTAAGGGTTAGTACTGTTTCGTGAAAACATCCACTCCAGTTATAGCGGTAAAAGCAGAGTCACTAGTTAAAGTGTTTCCCCTCCCTGATGAACTGCACAAAATTAAAAACCCATTAACAGAAAACTGAGTGTGCTCACTCTTTAAGTTGTAGAAATCAGAGTATAAAAAGCGTCTACCGACTGCAAACTTGTCATGGCATTTGCATCTTAAAACCAAACTGAATTATCCTAAACAGCAATAGCTTTATTATCAGATATATAACACCGCTTATCAGTTAGAGGGAGACCAGTAACCTAAAGTGTATTTCTATACAACAGAATGAAAAGCGTCACTATTACTAAAACCACACCCTCACACCACATGCCTTTGTAAACATTTAGTATGTTTTTTCAAAGGCAGGAAAACTTAAGTTATATTCATGGATGCATTGCTGGCTGTTAGTCACATTATTCAATTAGCAGTTGTCAGAAATCAAAAGCCTTAGGGAAAAAAATGAAACCAATACAAACACATTTTATAAGAAATAATGTAATTATCTGTGTAGTTAGGAACAAATGAATTACATAAGCACAGAATATGAGAATTTTGACCAATAGTATTTGAGAAATGTTTGGGGTTTTAGGTGACCACCAACTAACTGGGAGACAGTCTGAAGAGGCTGCTAGAGCTCATCTCAGATTCTGTATTAATAGAAGAGT